TACACATCATGTAGATAAATTAATTAAACAAAATTGATTTTTGTGGGTATATCCCCTGATTGAAGCAAAGCGAAGAAAAACAATAAAAAATATTAATATACAACGTGTCTCAGAAATAAGTACATTAACTTTAGTCACGTGCAGAACTCATCAAATGTATTTTTTTATGTATAATGTTTTTGAGAACGCAAAATTTAGGTTAGTTAGGTTAAAATTATAAATCGCAAAATTGATTTTTGTGGGTATATCCCCTGATTGAAGCAAAGCGAAGAAAAACTATAAAAAATATTAATATACAACGTGTCTCAGAAATAAGTACATTAACTTTAGTCACGTGCAGAACTCATCAAATGTATTTTTTTTATGTATAATGTTTTTGAGAACGCAAAAGTTAGGTTAAAATTATAAATCGCACACGTCGAATTYTTTAAATTAAAAGAAAATTTGCTATATTTGGTATTTTAAATTAAAACGTCAACAAATTTTTCTTGTGAGTATATTTTGAAGTCAAAATGTGGCAAAAAACTAGTCAATACGTAAAATATCCAAYTTTTAGATGTGTATATTTGAATAACTCGTCATATTCATTATTTTCGTTTTATATTTTGTTTACAATTGTCTTTATAGTTATATTTTGGCTTAATATTTCCTTTATAGACGTCAGTCTGTTAGGAATAAAGAATAATAATAATAATAGTATTCATAAAGGCACGCCACTGGCCGCCTCACCTGTCSATTTCGAGAAATATCAACAYGGGCACAGTCTAATAACTCTAATGAATGAAAGTGGTCGCTGGGTCACGTGTGCACCGATTGATCTTGTATCTTGAACGCGGACCGCAGACTAAACCACGTTCAGAGTATGAATAACAAAAAGTCGTGAAGAAAATTTCAAATCTGATATTCGGACAATAAAATGTTTTAAATGGACGAAAATCTAAATATGGAAGATGTTATGAGAGTAGAATTGTCGCTAATCTGATGGTTAATGTAGAAATAACGGACTGTGCAAATACAGCCACCCGAAGATGGTAAATTATGCTAAGATGGTTGTAAAGAGCCAAATTGTGGCGCCATATTGTCCATTTCATAAAACTGGTCCGACTTGATGATAAGTAAACTAGAATATTAAGAAATTAAAAAAGGAACGAATGGAGCGAAACTGGCTGCGAAATAGCACATTTACAGAGAATAAATGACTGTTTTGTTGTTATTTATAAGGAAAAAATTATATATGGACATCCATATACTGTTTTGGTGGTTTCACAGTTTTTATTTTTTTTTAATTAGTAAAATCTCCTTTTACTTTTACAAACGAACATCATCTTACTCTCAATTAAAATAAATTATTAAAAATAGACCTCATCAAGCACCAAACAATAGACACATAAAAAAATAACCAGTTAGAATAAGCTTCTTGAAAGCCAGCGAGTTAATCTTTGGGAACAAGTCACAAGGATATATCCACAACCGTGTTATTATTTACAGTTTACATTACTGTGTTGGTAATTAGAAGAATTTTGTTAGTTTTACGTATTTTTGACTAGTCGTGTTAATTCCGGACGAGCTTTTGTACACAATAAGTGTTTACCGAAGAAATTTGGTAATTTAGTGCGTTATCGCAGGAAAAACTTTCGAAACGAGAGCTATCACTGAGTAAACTTGGTAATAAAATTGTTAAGCGACTATAAAATTACAAAAAATATCACAAAATTAGTTCCTATAACAGATTATTCCAAAGTAATGTCTAATGCAAGCTTAATTTAAATACTGCAACATCATCAAAGTAAAAAAAAAAAATAAAAATTTCCTAGTGAGAAAAGACTGCTGCTTTAGCATGATAATCTTACAGTTGGCAACAATGAACCATCAGTATGGCATATAATAGACAGGAAACAGCTAAATTTTAAGTAATCTCCAAAAATTTCGAAAAATACCAGTAATTCCGAGAAAACATTAATTTCGTATAATTTTAAATATTTCAGAAACATGAAATATCTCCAGTGACCCATTTCGAGTCGATCGTGTGATTAAGTAAGGAGTACTTCCCGCCCTTGACCGCTGTAATAAATTATTCCATCCGCCACAGTAGCATCTAATTAATAATTTTCTTTCCACTCCTCCCTCCTCTCTCCCGGATCCGCTAAATGGGGCAAGGTGATATCGGGTTTACCGAACTTTCCTCACTTGTAACGAGTTTAAAAAGCAATCACATGGCCGATAAATATAATTTCTGTGGCAACTTTCGGTGTGCATTTCCAATGTGATTTAAACTACACAAAACCGGAAAAAAGTCCGCACACGCACTTGCGTTATGCAAGAGTTCAGCTGTTGACGCCTCTCATTTTCCACCCACGCGAGGGATACGCCACTGGTGGGGAGGTTTGGCGAATTTGGGACGAATTTAATTAGAAAAGTTGGAATATATTTATTGAATTGAGATAATTGAAATGTTTATTTTCCCATAAGAAAAAAAATACATGTAGGAAGACTGAAAAAATCAAGTAAGGATACATATCTTATTTATGTAAAATTTATAAATAAAACCGTTATAAACGTAATTGACAACTTGACAGCAATCATCCGCAATAATAAATCATCTGTTTCTAAATATAGAATATTAGAAAATTTAAAAATTCCATAATTTTTACCACTGATTAAAAATAAAACCAACAATAAATTATACATTATTACAAATTTTGTATTATTTACAATTGTATGTAAACATTGCAATAGCTTTTAAATCAGAACTGTACAAATTTAATCTTCAACATTTTTTTGTTTTCTATTTATTAAGACTTAAAAATGTTGCTAGAAGCATTAAGAACAAAAAATTTCTAATCTTGTATCAAATTTTCTAGTAGTAAAAATAAATTATGTTATTTTATCAATATTAAAACTCAAGCTGATTTTTATGGTTCGTCTTAACTTTGATAAAACAATAATTAAAATAATTAAAACTCCTAAATATTCCAAGTATTTGTACCGCCTCTTAAATTCACTTTTTTGGTCCACAACATAATATGGTGGTAGATTTATATGAATCATTATGAATAATTTTTTATAACACTTTTTTTACGATTTTCATAAAATATATGTCATATGTGTTACCTACTTTTCTTAATAAATAAGGCTATGAAAAATTCGTCACAACTTTAGAAGTATTTGACATACCGTATCATATTGATTATTGCAAAATAAACAGCTTCGCGAGTCTATAAACTTGTCAAAATTATATCTAAAAAGTTTTATAAATGACAAAACATCACCAACATTCCATAAATTTTATTAAATGCAATTTGTAAATAAAAAACTGAATTCCATTTTGCAAGAAAAGCAAATAAAATACGAGATGAATGTTTTCCTTGTTTTCGTTATTTTGTTTATTAAAAAAATTTTTTTTTAAATACTGATTTAAAAATTACTGTAAATTTTATTATACGAAAATAAATAAGAATGAATTTTAGGTAAATAAATTTCTCTTTGGAACAATCAAAAGCGAGAGAGAATCTCATTAGCAATAAAAAATAAATAAAATACGAGATGAACTTTTCCTTTGTTTTGTTTGCGTGAATTAGATGCCTTCTATTTTGTAAAATAAAAAATATTTTTAAGAAATTTTTTTTCTGTCTTTTTTGTTTGTTGTAGATTATTCACTTTGCTTAACAAAATCACTTAATTCGTTGAATTGTTGAACACATCATTATTTTAAAGAGAAGCATTTACATTTGCGTGTAATAAAATGTAAATATTTAAGTGCTCTCACTCCAAACGACACTAATTGTATGTGCATAAAGTAAGAAAGACTTGTGCCGTTATTTTGTCATGTTTATATTAAAACAATTTTCAATTAAGCAACGACAATAAATAGAAATCTTAATGTTTATGTGAGTTATTCGTTTTTAACATAAACAATAAATTTTAAACTAAGTATTCCTCTGATGGAACTGTTTTAGAATGTAAAGCAAATATTGTTACCAACACTTGCGATAACCGTTGAAAATTAACTTCCTACTACAAGCTATTGTTTTGTCAGAGTTAAAAGAAACAATAAAATAGTCATTATAGACTGAAGTTAGTTTCGTTAGCACAAGAATTCTTCAACTTCTAGATGTATTAAAATTATGTATTTTTTTAAATGTTGTCACATAAAGATAAAAAACAAGTAATTAAATTAATTAACTGTCAGCCAGTTTGCAATTTTTGCATAATTACAACACTGTAGTTGTTTCGATATAATGCATAATTGTGTTCATCTATAAATCATCAGTGTCCGTTGACATTTTGCTTTTAAATTAATATAACAGCTACCTCATTTTTTCACAATTTCAATTACTATACCCGCGAAGGCCGCTTCTTACGTAATCAATTATTCAAATTCAAAACTACCACAGCTGAGAGACCCATCTGCTAATTGCTCTTTAAACAAACGTTACAGAGCGTTCATTCTTGATATTCAAGGTTGGTTCCACATTTTATAATCTGGTGACAATTATAATTAACCGAACCGACAATAGTGAAAAAGTTGGTAACGGTAAGTGCCTTTAGCGGTGACTTATCCAGAGGGGCCTAATGTTAATGCTAATGTTAATCAGAAAAAAATACATATTATTATGTTAACAACGTCCAAACTGGTATTTTATTATATTATTATTACAACACGATGTCTTTTTTGTTTATTCGATTCTTGCTGCATTTTTTTCATATAATTTTTCGTTCTTAAATAATTTATTTCAAAGTTTCAATCAACTAACTCACTTTACTCATTTTTCAAAACAGAATTAAAACATTTGATTTTTATTATTACTTATTCACCAATGGCGTTCGCATTATTGCCTCAAATATTCGTTATCCCGAGCGACGATGAGGAAAAAGTCTGTTGAATGGACGTTACGGATGATTATTCATAAAGTCGGTTTTTTTTCCGTAGCGTTTTATGTGCGCTCAAAAGACGATTAAAATGCAAATCGCGAGAGGTCATTAAACAACAAATTGCTTACCTTTCCGTACGGCGAAAAAGTCTTCGGGAAACCACCGATGTTGTCACTGAAACGAAACATCCAACATTTAAGTACCGACAACGGCTGTTGCTCTCAGGTGGCGATAAATAATAACGCTGAGACCAGTCGAACAATTATTTACGATACAAAATATACGATTTTTTAAAATATTTTAATTAAAATTAATTTCCTAGACAAGAGCGTAAATACTGTCACGAGGAAAGATCGTAACTTTCGGTTTCGCTAAAGAACGGTTTTTCTTATGCAAACTAGAGAATATTTTATTCCAAGAAGTAGTTTTTCAGGTATTTAATGACCACAAATCCGCCTTAGTTTCAATTTTTCAACAATAGAGTAAGAATCGAAAAAAAAAGTAGTAAAAACTTGACCTACATCCTAGTGGGCTGTATAACCCCCCTCTGGGCCGTACTGTCATGAATCCTAACCTCCTTGGCATCCACTTCCATACACTTCTCCTCCTTTTCTTCTCTCTGATAATCAAAAATCCACATTGGTCCACACCCCCCCAAAATTTCATCAATATTCCTATGTTTTGAGATAAACAAATTCGCTTTTTTCCTTCCCTTTTCCCTCACTGGCACATTATCATACGGGCTCAGTCTCCCCTCATCCTCCTTTGGCATCTCCAACCCCTCAGGACTTGCCCTATCTCCTAAAGGGGCCTGAGTCTGATCAAACTCCTGCTCATGTGAGTGTGAATTCGACTGCAACCACCAAGCTTTCTCCCCCGACTCCTGATGTCTGATCGCGTACTTCGGTTTCTCGCTCTTCTCCTGAGCTTGGACCATTTCGGGAATGTTCTCAGCGCTACTGAGCCACCATGAACGCTCTCCTGAGTCGATATGTCTGATTTTGTGACGCTCTTGGTACTCCGCATCCATTATGTTGCTACTAGGCTCAGTATCGGTACTACCCAACCGGAAGATTTTCTGAGAGGACTCCTCAGGATACGTTTGGACTCCCTCAGGAACCTCAGCGTTTTTGTCGAGCCACCAAGGGATTTCCCCGGATTCGACATTGCGCAAAAAAGGTTTGGGTTTAGTTTGACTCTTTTCGGAGTCTCGGGGAAGGGAGGAGGAAGCCGTGGTGTCGTCTAACCACCAAGCACGTTCACCAGATTCGATCCTTTTGAAGTTTTTCGCGGGTTTTTGGTCAGTTTTTGGCGTGCTCGGAGGGCTGTCGCTGGGGGTTGAGTCCATCCAATTGATTTTGTCACTAGACCCTTAAAAAACATTTTAGAACGTATTTTGAGGAGTAAAAAATTAACAAACCTTGATATTTTGTCTTGAAAAGACTCGTAACTGGGGCCAAAGCCCTCATTAAAAACGACTTGGCTTCAGCTTCCGACTTGAGTCTTGGGCTTGGTGGCGGTTTTGGGGACTCATCAGCTGAAGACACCGCCATTGAAGTCCTTGAAGACGTAACCTTTAAATCGTTTTTCTTCTCCTCTTCACTAGCAGACGAAGATGAGGTACTACCATCAGAACTCGGCGATCTTCGACTCCTTTGAGACCCTTTATCAATCCTTTGGGGTAACTTGGAACTCGAAGAGTTACTTTGGTGATAAGACGGACAACTTGTCAAGTTCTCTGACACATCAGTCGCTTCCGAAGCCTGGACTTCCGGCTCAGATTCGGCAGAACTCGCCGAGTTACTCCTCCTCCCAACTTTCTTCTTCCCCCCTTCAGGGTTCATATTCAGCACCGACTTTCTGAAATCCTTATTAGCAGTACTAATGGAATGTAACGATTTCGTGTCACTTTTGGGGATTTGTGGTGGGAGGAGTTGCTTGGTTGGGGAAACTTTCTTTGGGGGTGATTTCTTCTCCAAACTCTTGTTCGAACTAGTCCTTGAAACACTTTTCGGACTTCGATCCCCTTTTTTCTTATCATTGGGACTTGAAAATTTCATATCAAGAAACGAACTCCAAGGAGCCGCTACCATACGCGACGCTYCTAAAAACCTTGAGTTTTTGCTAGTGTCATCCAGGCGATCTGATTGGACTTCTTTATCGGTTTTTGGCCGGTTTTTGACTCGAGTTATTTGTTTTTCTACAGTTTTGGCTATTTCGTTTCGTCGAGAGCGAGMAATGTTGGTGGTGGTGGGAGTAGGAGAAGTAGCTCTAGTTACGGTTGAGACAGTTTCTGTTTCTTCGGGSAGAGGTGGGGGGGTTTTGACACCATAATCATCAGGTGTGATTGAAGAACAGCGACTTGTAGGCCGACTTTGTTCTTGTTGGGCATGCAAGACATTGAGTAACTCCCGATTTTTCCGGATGGTTTCATGAGATCGGATCGCAGACGGCCTAGTGTAAGCAGTGTAACTCTTCTCAACTGAATTCTTCGGAAGAAAACGACTTGTGATATATTTCTGAGATCCTGAAGATAAATCTTCCCGGGAAGTGGCCCGACTTGATGGTTTATACCTTGACAAGTCATCTTTAGTGAGCGAAGACCGTCCTGTGTATTTTGGGACAAGATCTTCTTTACTAATTGAAGACCTCCCGCCATATTTTGGTACAATTTCATCTTTAACGATTGAAGAACGTCCAGTGTATTTTGGTATATCTTCCCGGCTTACGGAAGAACGCCGACTTGTTACATCATCTTTACTTAGAGAAGATCTTCCGGAATATTTCGGTATAGTGGTGGAAGTGTCCAATTCCCGGCTCACGGACCTGGTATAGGGCCTAGTGGGGTAAAGCCGATTATAGTTATAGCTCGAAGAAGATGAACTTTTGTCAGGGCTAGGGTCACGTGATCGGGGCGTTGTCCGGGCTAAAGCCCTATAAGAGACAGGAGGGTGGTTCGTATCTTTCTTTTCCAGGGTCGGCTTAAGCCGACTCGAGTAGCTGCTTCCTGAAATAATAAAATAGTTTTTTAWTGAGCTGATAGCYATAGTTATTATACTAAACCTGAAGCACTGCTGTCTCGCTGGTAGCCTGAGCCATAGGCGCCATATTTCGAAGCAATCCTAGCACTCGCACTCTTTTCTTCATCTTTCTTCTTGCCAAAGCTCGAATCATACTGTAACAACAATGTAGTTAATGAACGTCATTTAAAACTATGACAGGTATTTTTTAGGGCGCCTTGRAKCTAGATAAGARACATCGTTAAGCTTGTTAATGAATTGTGATAATTGGCATAGACTCAGACGCTTCTAATTTTTTTCAGGTAAAAATAAGTCGGGTGATCGTTCTTACTTTTGTAGCTTCTTTTTTGCTAGTAAAACTCGTGGAGGAATTCGGCGATTTGTTCCAAGGCACCTGAAAAGAAACCAAAGATTAATTTTCAATATAGGGTGTATCAAAAAATTCGAAAATTTTACGCSGCATTTAGTTCCGGTCAAGGTTGGGCAAATTTTTCAGTGATAATCAATCACGGTACAATTGGAAAGCATTTCGWTCAAAATAAATGTTGGCAGTGTTTGACTATTCACATGTGGACTAMTTATGCAATCTGAATAATCTGATAGCTGTTTGTAAAAATCTTCCCACCGGAACAAAGCCCAATTACCAAATCTYCAAACAATGAGTTAATTAGAATACTGTTTTGGCGACGATGGAATTGATCATGTGGCGAGACCGAATTCATTATACTTTTTATTTTTAATCCACCGGAAAAGAATCGTCTCTAGTGACTAAGTGTTCAGTTATTGGAATTGATTAGGACGGTTGTGTCAACCCGAAACAAGAACCGGAAACTGCTCCAGACAGGAAGTTACTAATAGTGGTGCGACGGTATGCGTTGAGAAAATAGAGAAAAATTTTGTGATGGGTTTATGRCGAAGATAAAAATTGAAATGTAAATACGATATAAAGTTTATTGGAAGGTTGGGAAAGTAAAAATAGATGCAAAGTATGCGGTAGCCGGAAAAATTTGTTTCGATTGTGGACGGTTGTTGTGGCTGGTTTTCAGGATTTTCAGCTCTTTGATTTTTAGATTTATTTTGAGTCGCTGGTGAATGCCAAGGTTTTATTCGGTTCTGTTACAAGAAGATTGAAGAGATATCCTTTTTTTAGTTTTGCAATTGCACCGTCACAGCTGCTTACCCAAARAATGAAAAAAATAAAAAAATAAATTAATTTTAAACTTCAAAAAACTATTAAATTTGTGTTTAAACATCTATTAAATGGCAAAGCGACGTAGATCTAAATAGTCGTTTTGATTTCATAAGCGATAAAGTTTTTTACTATTTTTTTAATAAAAATAATAAATTACTTCAATATTGTTCATACTTCACACAAATTTATAAAAATATAAAGACTAAAATATTTTGAACGTTTTTATCTTTTTTACAATTTTTTTAAGGATAAACATTTTGAAATAACTTGGGTAGGTACAGWTACGGWATTAAAATTTCGGGCAGTATTTTTCCGTCACTTCACTGTAAAACTACCTTTTAYTGTCATAATGATATTTATGACTGACATTTGACAATTAAAYTTTTCTGYCAGTGACACTATTTTTTAAGTCAAAATGACATAAAYATGACAAGAGTAATAAATGAGGTTATTAATGTAAAGGTTGTTTTAGAGTTTACATTGTGAAAATGACARTACTGCCCGAAATYTTAATTCCGGAACTGTACATATTAAATAAATTCTGATTTTTTTCAAACTCGTTGAAACAACGTTTTACTTTTTTGAATYTTAAGGCCCCTAAAAGTGMAAAAAAACTTATTTGGTGCCATTAGAAATATCTTGATATTTTTCGAAAATTTGACCGATTTCTTATACCCTGAGCAAGTATCAGCTAATACCAACAGTTGTAACGCCTTATGTTTGCTACCGCTGAAAAGCTCTTAAAATTTAAATTTCATTAAAAAAAAGTTTGTCGCCCTACAATTATAAYTAGCGACAAAATTGCTGATATGTAACAACAAAAATTATTTTTTTTTAAATGTCTTTAACTACTAAACTACACGGAGTCAAAGTACTGTTTATTTCAAAAACTTAATGAYGGTGTTTGTAACCGCCATGGAGGGACTATACTAGGTCCATGGTAACCGCCGTTTGAAAGTAAGATTTTTTTTTTGAAACATCAACTCCAAGCTTACTCATTTTGAAAATTTTTGTACGCTGATAATGCCGATATATTGTTTATAGATAGTTCATTTGTTATAGTCGTTAAAAAAGTAAAAAACCCGGTTTTTTAACATTAAAGCTGTTTTTCTTAAAAGTGCTACAAAAAAAGATAAAAATGTTTTTTTGCTTTTAATTATCTATCGAACGCTGAAACCCAGAGTCGATCCGAGGTGCTCTGGGTAAAAAATTGAACTATTAAGTAAGTGCCTTGAAACGCTTAAAATAATTCGATATCTCAAAAATTACTCGTCCTAGAGTATTTTAAGCGGTCGCATCAGATGATGCGAGTCGCATTATCTAAAAAATTGGTTCGTTAAAAGGTTTATTTTACAAAAATGAACAATCGAATGTAAATCAAAGCAAAGAATAGCAATTCTTTAAAATCTGTTCTTAGCATTATAGTTTTTTTCTTCATCGGTATTTGTTCTTTACATAAATATCTCCATTTTGTTTATGGTGATCAATTATTTACAAAACAGACTGCYATAATAATCTTGTCGAATTACATTCACATATAAATATAAAATATAAACATCCTACTGTTCCGCTCAACTTATAATTGCCGGTCTAGATAATCCCAGTTTACATAACCCAAATTTTCTCAACAGACCAACGCCAACACGTTTCTTACTGTGGCAGTCCTACTCCTGGTTACAAATTTGTTGAAACAAGTTTACAAGACACGGAAATAGTYCAAAGAAAAACGGGTTAATGAATGTAATTCAAGGAACATCTAATTCTATATTTATTGCGCTCATTATTCTCAAAAAGCTACCTAGATACGAGGAGCCAATGCTATTCTAATGAAAATTTGAGACGCCTCGACTCAAACTTCTATAATTATCCTTAAACATAATGAGTCCAATATGTAAAATATCCCATTTCTAAAGTAAGCTTATAAAACTGTCAACCGAGTTTACTTTTCGGACTAAGTAATGTATGGCTTAGGGTTATTTTTAAGCGACGCCCTCTATTGACTGCAAACACATTTTTCGGATCGTTTCGGCGGCATCGGTTTGTCTGGGGACGGAAGGAATCTTGTAAGCAATTCAATAAAAAATCGATTTTAAAATTAGTTTTTTGGTGTTATACAAACGTCAGGCGTCATTTCATTTTTGGCATCGCACCAAAAAAAAAATATATTTGTACGGTTTGTCTAGCGATTATTTAATTCATGTTGTATTTGGGGAATCTAGGAAAGATGCGCAGAGGAAATAAACACACAGAAACAAGGACACAAGGACAAAAGCGCACAAGGAATAAAGCGTACCTGTGTACCGGGAAAAAAACGCTACAAAGACAAAAACGCATGTTGAAAATTTACTTAGTAAATTCTACATCCAATTTGATAAAATCTTGCAAATTTAATTTTTTTTTGCATTTTGCTTTAAAAAACCTTTAGGTTGAAGATATGATTTTGAAACTTTGTGCAAATGTAAAAGTAACTATAAACTAAAACAATAAGCAAAACAGAACTCGAAATGTGGGATAGGCGTTTTTATGGAGTTTTTAAACATGAATATATTTAATACCAGGTGAATAAAAAGTATGGAACCAAACGTTTTTTGCTTAAACTATTTTTTGAAAAAACTAATTGATAAGTGATAAAGTACTATAAGAATGTGATGATTTAACAAGAATAAAATTTTTCGAAATTTCCTTTTGTTTTTGAGTTCTACAAAAAAAATATTTTTTTTAAATGGCAACCCACTATAAAATCATTTTTCTCATAAAAGCTATACTGTAAGTATTACAACTATCTGCTTTATATTTAATTTTTTCAAAAAAAAAATTTCACATAAATTGCAATTTTGACAAAAAAAAATCGCATAACTCAAAAACAAAACAAAATTTAGTTCTGAAAATACGATCACATTTTTTATATTAATTTAATTTGTATTAATTATTATTTTCTGGGGGCAAATGATTAAAAATAAAACCGCTTGGTTCCATACTTTATATTCACCCTGTATATCACAATTTAAAATTCCAAGATAAAATTGTAACGTACCACCAACGTACCTAAATAAAAATAAATAATAGTTAATGCTGCACTTTTTCCCTTGTGCGTTTTTTTCGTTGTGCGCTTTTTTCTGTGTGCTTATTTCCAGTGCGCTTATTTCCTGTGCACATCTTTCCGGTCACCGTATTTGAGACCGTTTAAGTGTTTTCAAATAAAAGATTTCAGAATTTTGTTTCTTCTTTCATTTTTTTTTTAATTTATTACCTTCTTACAAAAATCAGTCTTTAATAAAACACAAATTTTTCATTGAAATTTCACAGATCTAAAAAAAATTGTTAAAACATGCAGTCAGGCAAAATCAAATATTTAAAAACCACTCATCAGAGTGCATTTTAACCAATTACAACGTAATCAGCGCATAATTTTACCTCGATTTCAATAGTTATTTGTTTTACAGAGGAAGAAAGTGTATTTTTTCCTCTCGCAAGTTTCGGACAATAACCACACAGGGAAAAAAGACGATTTTCTCCAGTGTAATACATATATTTTTTACTATGATCCATCAAGAAAAACTTTAAAACTAACAATTACACTTGATATTCCAATTTCGCCATTAAATCTTGCATGTTTTTTGGTTTCTATGAAGGAAGTAAAATTTTTACCACCTTGAAAGGAGTGAGCAAAATTTTTACCTCCCAGAAAAGTAATTAGCCACTTTTCTTTCTCTTAGGGTCGAAGGAAAAGTTTTTGCTGCTTATCATTTAAGACAACAAAAAATTTGATTTTTTTAAACTCGACCAACAAACGTTTCATGGTTCAATTTTGAAGTTTAGAATTATTGTTATTTTTTTCTGGAATCCGGAGCGGATATTTAACAATAATTCCGAAACTATTGGTCGTCACTGTTCAGGATTTTTTTATACGACCAATATCCATCGTAATTCTAAAATTAAGATTCATAATGAATGATTTAAATTTTTGATAATTACGATAATGTTAATTTTGAAATTACGGCTTTCGTATTGGTTCTAAGAAAAAAATATAAGGCATCTTTTTTTTTTAGAAAATAAAATTACTGTTTGAGTAAGAACTTGGGGTTCAATACTGGTTTATTATAAAAAATAATTTGAATATATACACTTTTTTATAAACTAAAA